CTTCCTCTTTCAATATTGGTAACCAGATCCTACTACATTCAAGAGGCTTTATTGGATATCGTGGAAGATATTTATGTCAACGGAAATAGCATTAATAATATTAGATATGCCGACGATACTGTGATATTTGCAAGTGACATGGAAGATCTACAGTACATAATACAACATGTATACAATGCATGTGAAAGTTACGGACTGCAAATGAATCTCAAGAAAACGAAATCAATGATAAGTATTCTCAAAAAAACCACAAAATGTAAATAACCTGATCATCAATAATACAACGATAGAAAGAGTAAAAACATATAAATATTTAGGAACGTGGCTAACCGAAGATGGAGATTAAGTAAAGGAGATCAGATCTAGAATAGAAATGGCAAGAAACACGTTCATAAAATTGAAAGAAATTACTTTGCAACCGTAACCTTAATCTAGAGATTCGCACAAGAATGCTACGTTGTTACGTCTTCTCTACTTTACTATATGGCATGGAAGCGTGGACAATAAAGCAGTCTGAAATCAAAAAATTAAACTCCTTTGAGATGTGGTGCTACAGGAGAATGCATAAAATATCGTGGATTAAAAAAGTAACTAATATAGAGGTGTTACAAAGAATGAAGAAAGAATGTGAAGTCATAAAAACTGTTAAAATTAGAAAGATTCAATATCTGGGACATTTAATGAGGGGTGAGAAGTACGTATTACTGAGGTTGATTATGCAAGGGAAGATACAAGGGAAGAGAAACCCAGGACGACGCAAAATGTCCTGGCTAAGAAATTTGAGAGAGTGGTTCGGCTGCAGCTCATTAGAAATATTTCGAAATGCGGCCAACAAGTTAAAATAGCGATGATGATTTCCAACCTCCGCTAGGAGAAGGAACCCGAAGAAGAAGACTACATTCTGCCGAGGAATTTGCAACACAATTGGCCTCATTTAGCATAATTAAAGCCGCTTCTTTGATTTTTCTTTTTTTACCATCCGTCTCTTTTCGGACTACATTTGAATTATTCCATTGAACCCTATGTTCATTATCCCATGCTATGATTTTTTCTGACGGATATTCTCAAGTTAAAGTTGATTTCATGTAATCTAATGAACTATCTTATAAGTAAAGTCGTCCCAGGAGCGCAACTCAACAATATTGGCAATATCATTTTAAGTCGTCTACTTTAAAATGCATAATGTATGTCTGAATTGTCAATATAAATGAGTCGGATAAAATTAAATTATTAGAAGAATTTTTCACTATGTAACAAAAAACAAAATTTGTTTAATTTAGTGTTTGTATTTTGAGAACGATTTTCGAAGTGGAAATTGAAACGTCAATAAACGTATTTTTATCTTTAATTGTGGCTTATTCCCAGTTAAATAGTAATTAATTTAAAATGCCACAAGAAAATAGCTTCAGAACAATATCTAGAACTGTCATTTGTGTCAAATTACGTGACAACATACACATTGTGGTGAATTTTCGCTTGAGTTTACACAATTGAATTTTTAAAAAGAAACTCATAATGGGTAAGGCTAAAGACGTCCCTTTATCTGAAATGGTAGAGATAAAGACGCTTTTATTGAATACAATGCTTTTCCAACGTCAGATAGCTTAACAATGCCAAGTAGCGCAAGCAACAGTGAGCAATATCAAGAAAAAAACTGATACCAACAAACTCCTGACTCACCAGCGATCCCAAAAATGTGGTAGAAAGCATGTCACTACATCTAGAGACGAAAGAAAAATGAGGGATATCTTCGTAAACAATAGAAAGAAGCCAAGAAGAATCCTCACGGGACTTATTCGTGAAACTGGGATGCCAGTTTTTGACATGACAGTCCGCAGAAGGCTTGCCGAGCAAGGTTTCAAATATGTTTCCCTGCTAAAAAACCAAAGTTGACCATCGTAATGATAAAAAAGAGACTGGAATGGGCCAAAGAACACCAAAATTGGACAATTGAGGATTGGAATAAGGTAAATTACGTCACTACTAAGTTTAAATCCCTATAACCACTGTTTTTATCCTAAAAAATATCTTATAGTTTTTTTTTTATTCACAGGTTTGTTTCTCCGATGAGTCTACAGTGGAAATACTCATGGATAAGTCGGCCTTCGTCCGAAGGAGGGTGGGTGAAAAATATCACAAGGATTGCATAGTGGAGCGAGTAAAGCATCCTCTCAAGATCATGGTATGGTCTGTGATCAGCAGTTAGGGCACAGGGAGGCTGTACATTATGAATTGAATGATGAATCAACATCAGTATATTGAAGTTCTGGAAAGAAAGCTCATGCCACAAATCAAAGACTGGTTTGGCGAAGCGAAGAATTTTACCTTTATGCACTCATTGCCACCTGGCACAGAAACGATAAAATAAAAGAAGACTGCCCGAGAAACATTCAAAGCATGCCAATGAGGATCAAAGCTGCTATCGAAGCTAAAGGAGGTCACACAAAATATTTAAAAAAAATGTTATTTAAGGTCAAAGAAAAAAATATTTTAAAATTTTGTAAAAGAACGTGTTATTTTATATTTACATCATTAGACGCTTATATACAGTTTACTTCTTTATTAAACGGCAAAATACAATTTTTTTAAAGTGATCATAATATTTAGATCACCCACTGTAGTTACCAACTAGTGTACTTTATTCCCGCACGGGCGTAAAGAAATTTATGCCCGCACGGGCGTAATGATACAAACAAAAATAACTTATTAGAAACATCTTTATTTAACAACATTTCAAAACATTATTTAGAATTCACATAAAACTGGCAATTCTGAAAGGATCCGGTGATATTTAGATTACCCGCGGCAAACGTTGACTTATGTCTCATAGCGCGGGTGTCAAGTTTCTGTAAGGAAGCGCCGGATTCACAAGGTTTGCCTGCTAGCATTCTTGAAACCTAATTCTTTGAAGATCTGCTGTCCTCTAAATATCTTTCAGCAACCGATGTACTCTTCCATCCACCATGGCGCTTCAACGTGGTCATACTGGCTCCAGCTTCTGCCAGAAGAGTTACCGACGTCCGACGTAGGCAATGACCGGTGTACTTGTCAACCCAGATATTTTGAAATGGTGGACGGGATTTTTTCCAAATGTGTTCTTTCCAACTGTACAGTACAACGACCTTGTTTGTGGGTCAAAAAAGTATTTTTTCTGAAGAACCACTGGGCCGTAAAGACATGTAATCCAGTACTAACTTCAAAATCTTCAGTTCATAAAACCGTAAAATAGTTTCGAAACACAATTCAGATTTCCGCTTTAATCTATGCTTTCTAAAAATTGCAAAGCAAAACAGACGTTGATAAATGTGTTAAAAGAGACGTGGGGAATCTAAAATTTACCTTTAGGTCGAAATACGTATCAACAGATACAAAGGCGCTGTTTGCGTGAAATCAAATATTTGCTGTCTTTTCACTTTATTCGGATCTACTATGTACGAGTACTAGAAACCAATTCGCTAAGGATTTCTGCTTAGTTGAAAAGACGTGTCATGGAATGCAAATTTTAGATTCCTCACGTCTCTTTTAACACCTTTATCGACGTCTGCTTTGCTTTGCAATTTTTAGAAAGAACAGATTAAAGCGGAAATCAGAATTGTGTTTCGAAACTATTTTACGGTTTTATTGTCAGATGTCGCTATTGCGTCCGTATCGAAGGCATTTTAGTGTTGCTTCTTAAAAGACAGAAAATATTGATCTTTCACGTTGAGAACACCTTTGAATAACTGTTCTGATGAGATCTATTAGGTCGAAATACGTATCAACAGATACAAAGGCGCTGTTTGCGTGAAATCAAATATTTGCTGTCTTTTCACTTTCTTCAGTTCATCTTCGCCAATAATTGTAAAAACATGCTGTTTACCGGTTTTTCTCGCTGGTACGTTTACGACGAAAACTGATTTTGTATCTTCTACGTGACTAACCAACATACTTTTTTTCATTAAAAATATTTCGTTCGGTACTTTTTCTCTAGACAAGACTCTAGACTTTTTTGGCTGGTAGCCTTTCGAGCCTTGCTTCAAATATTCGGTATATTCAAATATGGTAATTGGCAATGTTAATATTCTTATTTACGATTAAAGTCTTCTTTACCATTGAATATTTGGACCAGAGGGAACTCGTAGAAAATGTTTCGGCAAGATCTGCAAAGTATACGGGTAGCACAGTTTTACTAATGTGTTCTATATCATTTCTGTCATCCAGTGCTGTAATTTTTCATATTCCTTGTCGTTAGCATCTCTCGACTTTGTGGTAGGAACTTTTGAGTTGCTTTTTCCGCTTTTTTTAAAATTTGATTAGGGACTCAAAAGTATTTTGCATTTTCACGGTTTTAGTTTGACACGTTGACAGCATTTCCGTAGCGTAGCAACATAACACGGGCGGTAGAATGTCTACTAGTAAATATATTGTTAAAATGAAATCAAATTTTCGGATTTTTAAGAACATATTTATTTGTAGATGCAATAACGAACTAGAATGACATAAAAATTGTATGCACTGCGGGTGTTAATAGATGTATATGCCCTCGGGCGACTTACAAACCATCGGGCCGGAGTCCTCTGAGTATAAACATAAACATAAATAACTATTATACTATCAATTCTTTACAATACCGAGATACTATACCGAGATATAATAAGTAAGTATGGAGAAGTGCGATATTTGAAAAAAAAAAACGAATTATATATTAAATGCTAGTTGAAGTAACGGCCTTGTCATAAATTGGAATTTGTTAATGTGATACCTCTGATACTGGTTGATAATAGTGAGTATACCTCTGACATTCAAACAGATATTTTCTTAAGGAAAGTATTTTAATCAATATTGTACATTTTAACGGATACATAATGTTGGGGTGTTTAATATACTAAACCACTCACAATAAACTGAGTGCGCTTCGCCCTCCTGGCCCTCTTTGCTATACAAATCTTTAGAATAAAGAAGAATTTTTTACGTATTTAAATAACAAATACCATACAATCAATTGGTATAACTCAGGTAGACTCATTTGCACTTATTTTTATTAGGATTTAGTTTATTATAATACATATAAACATTTCTTGCGAGAGATTTAACACAATTAAAAATATCCTCGCCATAAACTAAAACATCCCGTATACTGGTTTCTTGTTCGTTATCTTTAATATGAAATATATACGTAAACTTTATATCCCCACAGTGAAACTTTAAAAAGTCTATAACTGATCCAAAAGTTAATCCACAAATTTTGTAAAGTGAGCCAATGTCAATATTAATGTTTTTTAAAACTCGTTGTACTGATTTCGCCATTGTTGCAAGTTCTTCTTCATCGTTAAGCACTTCAGAAGAGGAACCAAAGGGAAAAACTAGTGATGATCCTCCTTCTTGTAACGAAATAAACAGTTTCACATGTTTTTGTGTGTAAGCAACTGATTTAATAATGGCTTTAGTAACAGGCGAAGAAAATCTTAAGTTTATCTTCCACTCTTCAAGGGCGTCTACAAAGTCTTGTGTGGTAACGTCTTGCAAAGTCTTGGCACCAAGAATTATTGGAAAATTGTTAGCTAAGTTTACAGGAACTGTCCCATTGGGAGAAATATTCTTAATAATCATATCGTAAGCATCTGGATTAGAACATGGAAGAATATAATAGTCCATAATCTTCACCAAGCCTTGATTTTTGGTTAAAAAGTTAATAAGATACAGTGCGGAAGCAACTGCCAATATGTTGGAACCATCAGATCCAGCTTCTACCAACACAGCCATTTTTTCTCGATCCTTTAAATTGTTTGTTATAATAACCATATATATAGATCTTTTTTCAGTGGACTTACCAATCTCTTCCAGATGAAACTTTTTACGAAATCTTTTCTGCAAACTTTTTAGGTATTCCGTAATTTCATCGTAAGTTAAAAATTTCTGGAAAAATTTTTCACAAGTTATTGGGCATCTGAATCTTGTTACGTTGTTTGGATTAAATGTATATTTGGTAGGTTTTGTAAGTAGCTTGTGTTTAATCTTATTCCGCTTTTGTATCTTCTTAGGGGCACAAGTTCGTTTTTTTCGTGCCATTATATGACAAACTAATAGTTACTTCAAAATTTTGATTGACGTTTATAATTTTGAGATTAAGGTTAACATAGCAGGAATACAGCTCATAAAGTACCACAATTTGGATAGCGAATGTTTCTATCCTAATTCTTCTTCTTCTTTTGGTGCCTATTCGTTTCGAACTTAGACAAGAAAAGAGAGAGGACGCGTAACCGTATCGCTAAAAGTGAAGCCAAACTGCCACCGAAGAAGTGGTCAGCGGTGTATCTTTGTATTTTTAAGGAATGACTAATTCGTATTTAAAATGAAACATTTTTGTACATTAAATGTTTTATTTAATTTATTTTATTTTATACAAATATATTGGAATCAAAATTAACGAAATTTATTTATTTATTTACTTATTTATGGAATTTTATGGAATATTTTATGGAATTTTAACCCTTAACACCCACTGCCACTGACAAATCATCATGGTATGTGAGTGAAATGATTAATTATAATACAATTACTGAAATAACTATGCATATTTAGCATTCTTATTTAGTAATTTAGATCTCACCTTTCATTAAAATACCAATTTAAATTGATTTTAAGGTTTAAAATTGAAATAAAAAGTAAAATCAATTAATACCTAATTGCACTATTATAAATACTTACCTATGAAACGATATTCCTGGTGTTTTCTGCTCGCTGCGATTTTTACAAAGAATATATGCACAATTCACCATTTTGTTAAGTAAAAAAAATAGGTACTTAATTTACTTCTTTTAAAAAACCACAAAAACAAAACTGGTGTCAGGTCTTTTGTTTGCCACCAAAAAAATGGCGGACACATCAAAAAGTGGTATCACTTTTTGAATGTTGGTTGAACGAGCGTTACCCGTCCTCTCTCTTTCCTTGTCTAATGTTTCGAATATTGGCGATCATTTTGCCTATAATTAGTTTATTTTATATTTAATTTCTTTCCTATACTTTGCCTTGAAGGATTATTTTCATTAATTTGTATTTAGTGTCGTTTCTCATTATATGTCCGAAATAGTCAACTTTCTCCTTTCAATCGTATACTTCACTTTTCTTTCCTTCTCCATTATTCGTAGTACAGTCTCGTTGGTTATCTTATCCGTCCATGATATCCTTAGGATTGTTCTGTATAGCCACATTTCGGAAGTTTTTTCTTCATCACTTTAATGTTGTTTAGTATTCAACTCCATAGTATAATATCGATAAGATATATCATCGTAGGACTTTTATACCCAGATTAAGGTTGTGGCTTTTAAAGAGATTGGTCATGTTGTTGAATGCACTCCTAGCCATTTCTATCCTACATATTACTTCTTGTGAGTAATCCCATTGTTCGTTTACTATTGTTCCAAGATAGGTAAACTGTTTTACTTGGTCCACTGGTGTATTCTTGATAAGCAGTTGTTCGTCTCTAATTTTATTTTTGCAAATGACCATAAATTTAGTTTTTGATAGTCCAAATCTTTAACTTACTTCATTTATTTTGTTTATTAGTTGGTGTAAATTGTTTAAACTGTCTGCAAAAATACCCGAGTTATCTGCTAGCGGATGTTGTCTAGGCGTTCTTCATTTAAAGGGATTCCATGTTCGCAATTTTCCAAGGCTTTACTAAATATTTTCTCTGAATATAGGTTTAATAATATAGGTGAAAGATAGAGTAAGCGAATTCTATACTGGAGACTATGGGAAAAGAAAAGAAAAAGAGGAAGACCACAGATGAGATGGACTTACGACCTTAAGAGAACGACAGGCAAGGACTGGATGCAGATCGCCCAAAATAGAGACCAATGGAGATTAACAGGGGAGGCCTATGCCCAAGAGTGGGCGTTTAAGGTTAATTAGATAGATAGAATATAGGTGAAAGTATACATCCTTGTCTAACGCCTCGCAAAATCTGGATCACTTCCGTTGATTCATCTCTAAGATTTGTTCTCATTGTGGCTGATTGGTTCCAGTATAAATTTTGAATTATACGCCGGTCTTTATTATCTATTTGGGCTTTTGTTAGAACATCCATCATTCTTCGGGGTACCTACGCCTTTCATGAATCCAAACTGTGTGTCTTGTTTTCTCTCTTCGCATAGCTTGTATATTCTGCGATGTATAATTTTAAGAAAAAGTTTTAATGTATGGCTCATTAGACTTAGTCTTAGGCTCATTAGTCTATATACTCCGCACTTTTTCGCTCCTTGTTTCTTTAGTAATGTAATAAATTCTAAAACTAGCCAATCTTTTGGAATATTGCCAGTGTCATAGATATTATTGAAGTTTTACATAGTATTCTTAAATATTTATCATTAAAAAAAGTTTAGAAATTTAGACTGTACTCCATCTGGTCCTGAAGCTTTCCCTTTGTTTAGTGACAATATGGCTGCTCTTATTTCTGCCACTAGTATAGGTGGTCCTGTTGCCGTAGGTATTGGGGACTGGTTCTCCCTCTCATCGAAAAATAAATTTCGTATGTAATTTTTCCAGGTATTATCAATACCACCTTTGTCCACCAATACCTCCCCGTTGTCATTAACAAGTTTACTTACTCTATGGCTTATCTGATCTTTCTCTGTATATCTTCTTGTAGTTTCTTATACATAGAGTTATTATTCTTGTTTTTACTTCTTTCTTCCATCAGCTGCAGAATCTCTGTTGTCATTCATGTCTTATTCTTACATTCTCCGTTCTTCATAAAATTTTCTTTAATATCGCCTATCTTTTTATTAAGGGACTTTATATAAGGAAAAAATATATCTTGTAATAGTTGATCGTTATGTCAGCAATATAAAAAAATATAAAAAATCGTCGATCTCACGAAATGTAATCAAGGATAAAGTAATCAAATTTAATTCCAGATTTGAAGATTGTTTAGTCTGTAATGAACCAGGACCTCATAAATAGAATAACGAGAATTTATAACTCAGTATGTATTGTAATTAACTCCGCTATTGCCGGTCTTAAGCCGGTACAAGGAAGAAGGGTAATTGGTTGGTGAATCTGGATTGGTGGCAGGAGACATACCAAGTAACTTCTGTCATTAAGTACTAAGAAATGCCCTAGTCAACATACGTTGATGACACTAACAAACCCTGTCCAGGATGGAATGGATAAGGGGAATTTCCAGCTCGTAACTCTAATCAATAGGACTAATCAAGTTATCGAAGAAAAAAAACCAACACAATCACAAGATATATCCAAAGAATGGGAAACGTGTAAAAGAATTATACAAGGAACAAAAAAATTCTTCGAATACAGAAAAGGTAAAAAGACAACTGTTTTATGAAAAATGTCGATGCATAACAGAAAAACCAATTTGTAGCGACCTTATTCGTTATCTTACTTAATGATGCCACTATAGCGTTTGTAAAAGCAATTTCAATATACTTGTATTTGGAGTATCATAAATTCAGATTTTTTGTGTTAAATGAATAAGCTTCAGTTTCTCATTTATTTAGTTGATTTTTACTAAATCTGACATATACATATACAGAATAACAAACAACTGCCACGTAAATGGAGCACAGGGGTAATCATCTATTCACAAAGGGAGATCTACTTAATGAAACATCAAAGAAAATAATAAGATAAACACCAGTTAAAACATACCTCTAGAAATGATTTACAATTAGATACATTAAACAAGTGGTACAAGATCTGGAAAGCTTACCTCAAAAATTATTAACTAGAAACGTAAAACAAAAAACAGATCACAATGTAGGAAAAGCTTGGAACAAACTAAGACTTCGAAAGGGTTGTCAAGCTGATGACAATGATGATGTTCATGATACTGATCATGCCTATGATAATGATCAAGTTTTCCTAGTATTGGTGGTCAAATATCAACCAAATCTAGAAACCACGCTGTATATCCCACACGTAATTTCGCTATTAATTTACTATTAATTATCACCTTTCTTCAAATTAAACTATTATTAATGCGATTATTTGAAATCGTATATATTTAGACTAGTCTCTAATAATTTTTTTATTGGCGAAGGTCCTATTTAATAGGTGATAGGTCAAATATATTGTTTTTTATTGCACTTAAACTTAAAATAGAATTGAAATAACAAAATTGGCGGACGTAGGTGGCGTATGCATTTGCACAAAATAGGAATGTGTTTAGTAAAACAAGAACTATAAAATGTTTTAAAGATCGGGTTATGTAAAATCAGCAGAGTATTCAAGGATAACAATGTTTCATTTGCACGTTATTAGTCATATGAAATCATTTAAGCAAGTCGAGATATAGAAATGGTTTAATTTTAAAATGATGAATTGTTCGCAAATCCTTACTCATATTTGGTTTTATTGTAATTTGGACGACCTGTTTTGGGTTTTTGAAGAAAAAGAAATAGAAATTCTTCGGGGTGTGAGACAGGGCTGTGTATTATCACCACTGCTGTTTAATATATATAGCGAAGCCATTTTCCAAGAAGCTTTAGGAGAGTGTAACGATGGAATGATAATAAATGGTGAAATTATTAATAATATAAGATATGCCGATGATACTGTCATATTCACTTCAACTCTGCAAAGTCTATCAAACATACTGGAACGGCTGAATGAAAAGTGTACCATATATGGTATTAAAATGAACTTAAAGAAAACAAAATTCATGGTCATTACAAAACATCCAAAAGACAACGAGACACTCCATATTAATAATATCCAGATAGAAAGGGTAGATAAATACAAATATCTAGGAACATTGGTTAGTCAAAACGCAGAACAAACGCAAGAGATTAAAAGCCGTATAGAAATAGCAAGGGCAAAATTTGTAAAAATGAAACATCTATTGTGTAGTAGAGACCTAAGAATGGATCTAAGGATAAGGTTATTGCGCTGCTACATTTTTACAACCTTGCTCTACGGATCTGAGGCATGGACATTGAAACAACTGGAGATTAGGAAATTGGAAGCTTTTGAGCGTTGGTGTTATCGAAGGATGCTACGAATAGCATGGGTAGACAAGGTTACCAATATTGAAGTCCTTGATAGGGTTAATAAGAGGGAAGAAATTGTACAGACAATTAAGA